AGTAGTACGAATTTCGAAAACTTCTTACTTACCCCAAACAGAGATGCTAAATACAACTTTCAGGATTACAACTCTTTCGGTTCACTCACAATTCAAATTGTACCAAATTTAGTACACAGTAGTACGAATTTCCAAAACGTCCCACTTAACCCAAAATTTCACCCCCAGAGTGATCCTAAATCCATGATTTAAGATTCCAACTCTATCGGTTCACCCACAATTCAAATTGTACCAAATTTAGTACACATTAGTAAAAAATTTTAAAACTTCCTACATATCTCGATCTTACACCCCAACACTGATCCTGACTCCAAATTTCATGATTCTAGCTCTATTGGTTCGCATAAAATTCAAAGTGTACCAAATTTAGTACCATTTAGTACCCATGAATATAAATTACTGAAACTGGGTAAAAAAATTCCAAAACTACGTACATTCCCAATCCTATACTCCGACGGTAATGTTAATTTCAAATTTCAGGATTCCAGCTCGATTTGTATCTCCAAATTAAATTTGTACCAAATATAGTATCATATAGTACTTTTCGTACACATGAGTACACGCTTTCAAAACCATCTCCTTAAATAGACTCTACATCTCATCCCTAATTCGCATTCCAAATTTCAAGTTTTTAGCTCCATCAATTCACATGCTACGAAATTGTACCAAATTAAGTACATTTTAGTACTTTTCGGATATTTATAGTTCGAATTTCCAAAAACCCTTTGGTACATATATCCTACATTCAGCGACCACCAATCCAAATTTCAGAGTTCTAGCTCTACCGGTTCGCCAAATACAAATGGTATGACATTTAGTACTTTTTAGTACTTTTCGTACCGTTCTAGTACGAATTTCCAAAAACCCTTTTGTACAGCTTTCTAACTTTCCATCAGTGACCCACATTCCAAATTTCAGAATTCTAGCTCTTCCCGTTCGCCTAATACAAAGGGTACCATATTTGGTACATTTTAGTACTTTTCGTACCCTTCTAGTTCGAATTTCCAAAAACCCAGCCTTATCTCACGCCTACACACCAACAAAAACCCACACTCAAAATTTCAAGCTTCTAGCTTTAGCCGTTTCGTCTGGGCGATGATCTGTCAGTCACTCACTCACTCACCCACTCACTTAACACTAAGCTCTTTTATATATATAGATAAAACTAGTTAATAAAATTTTTAAACCAATTTATAATATTAACCGGAAATTTTGGAAATCCAGATTAACGACATATTAATGTATTTTGTTTATACATCTATGAAATATGTATCCAAGGGCTTTAAAACATGTTTCGAGACATGGTGTATTAGTGATGCTCACCAGAACTTCCTAATCAATAACTGATAAATTTATTAAAATTAGATCATGTTTATAACATACGTATATTAGGTACTTGTAATTGTACAGATACCAAATATGTTACATTTGCAAAAAAAATAAACTTCAATATGATGCTGAATGCATATATTACTTTATTATTGTCTAAAAAAGAGGAGCAGTAGAGAGGTATACTTACAAATAATGCGTATGCAATATATAGTCCCACCACCACATATGGAAGTATAATCATTAATGATATTCTAAAATATATTACAGAACTCCATCATTCGATATAGATCACTGAAGTAGAAAACTATTAGCACATGATTACAGACTCCCATGTACACACATTTGTATGGAAATTCAAACCCGTGTTGGCAAATATGTGGTAAAATATGCAAAAATTCTGTCGTTTATTAGTTTTTGAATTGTTCTTCGGACTGTTACCAATAGATAATGAAATGCATTCCCACCGGCAATAACTTCCCGCTACCTTTTTAGACGCCAACACTATCAAATGGTTAACTAGAACTAACTGCAAAACAATCCAATACAGATTTGATAAGGTAGCCGCATCGACACAGCTGTTGATACAATTAGCTGTCAAAAATGTTGTAATTGTGGAATGTGGATTTACGAAATCCTGAAAATGAAATATGGTTTTTTACACTGACTTTGAGATCATTTCAAATGACTGTCAGCTAGTATTCTTTTACATTACACATGTCTTAAGTAGCTGCGATTTATGGACAGATTTCCACACATAACATTAAATATGTGGCCCAATCGGCGAACGGGGTTCTAACTGATTTAAGTCTAGGTTTCCTTTCCGTCCGCCTCTATGAATGTAGTTTTTTTTGAATTTTTATGATTAAAAATCCTAAATTTAAAGACAATTTTGAAATCGAAATGTAGTATTGAAAATGTTTTTGATAATTTGCTTTAGAAACAATCAAGAAAAAAGTTTGAAACCATATGCTTGTCATTTACACCTTATTAAATACACCTTCATCAAAACCATGGCATAATTATTGAAGGTATTCTCATGTCTTAATATATATAGTCCGTTTGTTTTACTATTCTTTGTCCTGAGTAAAGCTTTCATTGAGGATGTCTAAAGATAGTACATTGAAAGCCATTAATCAACGATGATTCTGTTTTATTCATACTTGCTTCCCTGCGTATTATTAAAAAAAGCACCAACATGTTTGAAGTTGGACTTTATAAAAGCCCCATACAACTCACTTTCTGATTTTAGATCTTCCGAAAATTTTAAATGTACGAAGTGATTATTATATTGCCATCGGAAGAACGTATCTATCCAAGGCAGAAATAAAAATTATAAATTTTGAAAATAAAAGTACAACAAGAAAAAAATGTAACATATGATAGCATGAGATTCAGCGTAGAACTATCAAACTAGTTCTCTCCATTCGTTCTCTTTTACTGGACGTAGGGGTAAACAGGCAATATCCAGTATCATCTGGTAACTATTTTAACAAATATCGAGTAAACAGACACAGCTTATGTATCCATACTGAGTAGTTTCGTAGTAGTTGCGTACATGGCACAATGAATAGGTAGTCCATTTAGCACAGCTGATGGCTCGATTAACTGTCAAAATTCGCAATTTCTATTTGAATTCCATGTGCAATGTTGCCAACCATGTGAAATATTATAATGAAAAATTTGACAGCTGGTCGAGACAAAAACAAAGGTTTTTGTTTTGATACATCAACTTATTATTGCATCATGGGTAGTCCATTTAGCGCAGTTGATGTCTTGATTAAATGTCGAAGTGGGTAATTTCTACTTGAATTCGATGTGCAGTGTTGCCAACTATTTGAAATATTATATGGAAAATTTTGACAGATAATCGAGACAAAAACAAAGGTTTTGACAGAAGGTCGAGGCCATGATGCAATAATAACAAAACAAAAACCTTTGTCTTTGTCTCGATTATCTGTCAATTTTTTCCATATAATATTTCAAATGGTTGGCAACACTGCACATGGAATTCAAGTAGAAATTACCCACTTTGACATTTAATCGAGTCATTAGTCTCGACCATGGCACAATAAATAGGTAGTCCATTTGGCGCAGCTGATGTCTCGATTAACTGTCCAAATGCATAATTTCTACTTGAATTCGATGTGCCAACCATATGAAATATTATAAGGAACAATTTGACAGATAATCGAGACAAAAACAAAGGTTTTTGTTGTGATTGCACATCGAATTCAAGTAGAAATTACCCACTTTGACAGTTAATCAAGACATCAGCTGCGCTAAATGGACTACCTATTCATTGTGCCATGGTCTCGACCAACAATAAATAGGTAGTCCATTTAGCGCAGCTGATTTTTGTTTTGACACATCAGCTGTGTTCCCAAACCTGCAATATAGTACTATATTGTACTAGTTTTGCAATTGTTGCTAGAAAAGCGTTACTTTACGCCGAAAAGTAGGAAAAATTGAAGTTAAATTTAAGAGAGTTAAAACCAAAATGGCGTTCTCTTCTCCTATTTTCTGCAAGACCAATTTGACCTAGCACGAAATAGTAAATGTAGTAAATTATGAATTTGACATTTGATTGCCAGAGATATACAGTCCGAAATAAAGCATATGAAAGTTAGGGCTTCAACAAAAGGGACACACGCATAGACTAGTCCTCGGTGAACTGATTACAGTGATATGGGGAGAAATTCATACTTCCCGAGATATGGACCTTGAATGTTCGGAGAGTATGTTGTTTTAATTAGCCGTATCATTTTAAAGGTTATGGTTTGTGTTATATAAGTAGATGAATATATTGCGTAGCCATGTATGAGCCTGTCCATATGTGAAAGTGTTATTCTTAAGTTCTCTTAAAAAAATACCCGTTATAACCTTTTAATGATACCCATATTGCCTTGGTGTAATAGAAAAAGGGTTGTTTTAAACAAAATATGTTCCGAAATTTTAAGGCCAATATCTCGGGAATTATGCATTTTCCCACATGAAATGTATATCACTGTAATCCGCACAAGGAGGGCTACTTACGGTAATCATTTCAAAATGATCCGAATGGAGCCCTTAAACTTGTTCTAGTTCGCAAAATATCTACCAATTTCAATAGCATTAACATTATGGGAGCGTCCAGCCATGTAAGTCTTTCCGGGCTTGGAGTCGTCGGAAACTCCACTTCCGAATATTCGATAAGATTTTCCTCTAAATTATACAAATAAAAAATAAACAATAAATATTTATATTATCAAAATCAGGCAATGGACTCCGTTTAACTTTTTTTTTTTTTTTTTTTGTGCATTAGGTTTCTGTAGTCTTTTTTTTTTTTTTTTTTTTTGTCCTTAACAAATGAAATTTTTGATTTTGAGGTTTCTTCATGTTTTAACTATTTTCCGTTCCTTTACTTTTTGCGCAAATCTTGTATGTGAGAGTAATTTTTGATAGTTCGCTCTTTTACTAGCTTTACTATCAAAAAGTACGGGAACGAACCTATCACCTTATTATTGCATCGTGATATATATTTTCGTCCATGTTTGATAAAACATAATCGAATACATCTTGGTTCACACCACCAGTTGTGGGTAGATATTTGCTTTTGTACCGAAGTACCGATTATCAAATACAGTACGAAGAAAAAACTCAGAAAGTATTAGAAGGAAATACGAGCGTGCGAATAGAACTAAAAAATTAATTGCATAAATCAAACCACAAAACAATGGTAGATGCAGCCAGGCAGATGTTGGACGAGTTAATGGGAAGGAACAGAAATTTGCACCCATCAGAGGCTCCGAAGGTAAAACTTAAATAACACGTCAATCAACATTTTACAATTCCAAATCGACGCCTAGACTGCATCGATTCTAAGTTTGCAATACATACCTACATCATGTCAGGGCTTCATGGGAAGACAAAAAGGGCACAACGTTCGTTTTGTTTTTAAGAAACGTGTAGCAATGCAGACGCGTTTTCTATCTTCAGGTCTACTTATTTCATAATATTCATATATGTGTATTACCGCAGTGCATTTCCATTTTTAATCAATCGCCTTTTTAAAACTCTATTCCAGGCAGTCAACTGGGAGGATCCTGATGTAAGTTTGAGAATATAGCTAAGTTAAATGGAATTAGACATTGTGCGCTTTTGTATCATTTGCAGCTTTGTCAGTATTTTTTGGTGAAATTTTGCCCGCACGAGCTATTTGTTAATACTAGAGCCGATTTAGGTCCATGCGATCGCATTCACGACGAGGAAGCTAAACGCCAGTACGAAAAAGCTAAGCCTTCCATTATCAAAAAACAGTACGAAGATGAGTTTCTATATTTCTGCAATTCAATGCTCAACGACGTGGACCGTAAAATACTGAAAGGTAAACAGCGTTTGGCATTAATACAGAAAGATCACGGACCTTCGTCTCACTATTCTCGATATCGTGAACAGCTGAATAATTTAAATGCCCGAATAAAAAAACTTCTTGCGGAAGCAGAGGAGGCAGGCACGAGAGGTGACGTTGATCAGGCGAAGGATTTAATGATATTGTGTGAACAGTTGAAAGACGAAAGAGACCAATTGATGTCACAACAGGAGAATAGCGAAAAGGAAGACAAGTCCGAGACATCGGAATCGGACCCAAACAAGGCATCTTCTCAATCGCCTCCCAGGGATTTGAATGGCACAGATAAATGTGCGACCACTGATGCCCACAGTGCAATTGACGACGAGTCATCATCGAATGCTGCTAGTCAGAATAATTTGAGAGCATGGATTAAAGATATAGGCCATTTGCCTGAAAAACAAATGGAAGTGTGCGAAGTGTGTGGTGCCTTTCTGATTGTAGGAGATGCTCAGCAACGGATTGAAGATCACCTAATGGGAAAACAACATCTTGGATATTCCAAACTGCGGAAGGCCGTCGAAGAAATTCATTTAAAGCGGCAAATGGAACGGGCTGCTGATGATGATCGTAGAATACGCGATGAACGTTCCCATTCTTATCGTGGATTCGATAGCGATAAAAGACGGTAATATCGATCTATAATATATGTTGAACTACTCTAGTAAAATCAAACTTATATTTGGTTTATAATTTTGATATTTCTAGAGAGCGTGATGTAGATCGGGAACGTGATTTCAATCGCGGTAGTCGACGACAAAGCGATCGCCATCGACGTAAGTCTAAATGTCCCCACTTATCACGGTGGTCGTTGTCTTGACAAAAATAGTGAGTGTAACGCCGTGTTCCTAGTAGATTAAAATTGATATTTATTAAATTTAGCTTAGTCGTTAATGTTGATAACACAGAGAGAAATGACAACGTCTACCGTAATAAGGATGACTGTTTCATGTGTAAGATGAGTACAATATGCTATGTTTTAGGTCATCACAAATCTCACCGTCGCCGTTCCCATTCGCGTGACCGCCATGACCGACGATACAGCCGAAGTCGCAGCCGCAGCCGATACTAATAACTTTGGAGAAGAATTCCCTAACACCTGAGGTACACTTCCCTTATCTTATATCAAAAATAATACCAATATGATTTCAAACAAATCATAAAACCAAAATAAGAAAACAAAACATTTAATAATCTAATATCACAGATTAAGAATATCGATGTAACACATCATAGAAGGTGAGTGTAAATATATTAATACTGTATATCAAACATGCTCCCCTTTTACACAGGCATAAACATTTACAACATATATATATAGGCGTTGTAGTGCCGGTTTTGATAATAGAGCCGGTGCGTGAAATGTTATTTTTTAGTAGGGGGAGTAAATTTTTTCATAGGTCAATATAAACTCCCACAAGGGAATTTTTCATTTGACAATGTATGTCTCTTATACTTACCAAGTTCTTCGTTCTGCATTTTGCGTGTATGGCGGAAAAACGGCACCTTTTCAAAGAAGTAGCAATGTAGGCATTTATGCTTTCAAATCAAACGGGAAATTGTATGCCCGATGTTATAGTAAAATTTTCCAACAACACAGTGAAAAAAGGCACCTTTCCAAACAAATAATGTAGGCAATTAAGCTTCAAAACCAAACGGGAAATTGTATGCCCAATGTTATATCATATATTTTACCAACGACGTTTAGTGTTCCTAAAAGGTACATTGAACTGGCTCTTGTACCAATATGACGATTTACAGAATGTATTATTTTTAACTGAGTAAACAAGATCGTGAAAAATAAGGTAATTAAATGTTGAACTAATATTTGTCATTTTTGAACATTTTTGGAAGCAATTATTTAGGTATTTAAAAGGATATCATATATGTATATATAAATACTGAGGGAATCATTACCAAATTTGAGAGAGAAAATGTTGTATATTTATCTTCTCCACATACTACAACGATGTGAAGGTAACAAACATGTTATTCTTAAAGTCCCATATTCTAAACCCTGACTACACATTTTTGTTAATAATGTATTCCATATTGATCGACAAATTATTGGAATTATAAAAAATTAATGGATTGACGGTTTCAAAGCAGCAACATTACATGTGGTCTGCAATCATATACGAATCTATTATTATTTAAATTCCAATAATGAGAATTTAAGAATTATTGAAATTGAGTTAATTTTGTTGATGACAACACTAATGGATTTGTATCAAATTTTAGTTCGGATTTATCTCAAGAAAATAATATATTGTGAAGCTGCGTTTTGGATACATAAACAAAGAACATGTGCGCCTTTGAACTAGCGAATGTCTTATCCTCGACATAAATGCACGGACACCGCACAGGTAACTTTCAATAGAATATAATTTGCCACTCAAATAAACGATGATAAAATAAACATGAAGAGATTTGAAACGAAATCGTCTCTACGGACTGGACTAATTAAGAGGTGAATGCTTTATTTGTATTGCTTTTCTCGTTAGCATTTTGTAAAGTTGAATTGATATTAAAACACTTCTGTAAATGAAAAAAAATAAATAAATAAGAGAATAAATACATATTACATTATACTTAAATATAACTAAACGTAGCCTGTGCATTGTGGCTGGATACAACGTCATTAACAGAATGTAAGTAATATCTGTTGTTTTGTGGCCAAAAGTTTTATCTCTGTCTGTTTACACATTGTTTGGTAGCAATTTTTCTCAATATTACAGCATTTTGCTGTTTACTCCCAAGTCCAGTAAAAAATCGGAATTAAGGGGCTATTTTGAAAGTTTGAACTTATTTGTTAAATTTTTTCTAGTAAGATATTTCCCATACAAATTGAGGCATTTTAATCAATTGTTAATTTTAAATATGGGCCGATTTCAATAAACTTTTTTTGTTTATAATTGTTAAAAGAATAATATTTAAAGGTAAATTACGTGTAATTTTACGAAACCTTACTATACTTTACGATATACTTTGAATATTTTGCCACCATCAATCAAGGCAATCAAAGAAGAATATTTAATAATAAAGTAGGGTAAGTGTACCTGTCGTCGGTGCTTTGGGGTTTAAGTATATCCAACTTTGTTGCACATATTTGCATTATATTGCATTAAGGTTCTGTTTCCAAAAGTTGGTGACTTATCGATGCAATAAACAATCTTTGAATAATTTTGTATTAAACAACTTAAATGCAGAATTATTCAAAAATCTCAAGAACTCTTGAAGATATAGCCGATTTATTGTGTCAGCAAGAGTGATTCCCAAACTTTAAACGCATTTTTCTCGAAGCAGTGTTTTTACGAATGGCGGGCACGATAACTCAACAACTAATAATCCAATCGGTTCCAAATTTTTACATCTTTTTCTGGGAGTGTATAGCTATCGTATGAACTAGGATAACGCCAATCGGCGAAGAACTTCCTTTTTTAACTTAGTTTGTGGTAAAAAATAGGCGAATTTAAAAAAATCAAAGGTCCGCCATTTTGTTAATTTTCGAACGAAGCCAATAATCCTTTGAATATTTTGCCACCATCAATCAAGGCAATCAAAGAAGAATATTTAATAATAAAGTAGGGTAAGTGTACCTGTCGTCGGTGCTTTGGGGTTTAAGTATATCCAACTTTGTTGCACATATTTGCATTATATTGCATTAAGGTTCTGTTTCCAAAAGTTGGTGACTTATCGATGCAATAAACAATCTTTGAATAATTTTGTATTAAACAACTTAAATGCAGAATTATTCAAAAATCTCAAGAACTCTTGAAGATATAGCCGATTTATTGTGTCAGCATCAAGTGACAGCAAGAGTGATTCCCAAACTTTAAACGCATTTTTCTCGAAGCAGTGTTTTTACGAATGGCGGGCACGATAACTCAACAACTAATAATCCAATCGGTTCCAAATTTTTACATCTTTCTCTGGGAGTGTATAGCTATCGTATGAACTAGGATAAAGCCAATCGGCGAAGAACTTCCTTTTTTAACTTAGTTTGTGGTCAAAAATAGGCGAATTTAAAAAAATAAAAGGTCCGCCATTTTGTTAATTTTCGAACGAAGCCAATAATCCTAGTTCATACGAGAGCCAGACATATAATATTTCTAACACCCTTGGAATTTTCGGATTCCATATTCCAGTGAGGAGATATCATGCCCGCCATCAAAAATAAGGATTTTTCTTTAATCACCGAAAACAAAACACCAACAACCAAATTTTGCAAATTATTTTTCTTCTTTCAAGATTTTTCAAGATTTTCAATGGGCTCAAATCAATACCAATGCTTGTTAAGGTTTGTAACTTTGCACATATATAATTGAAGATTTAAAATAGAAGAAAAATAATTTACCAAAAAATTTGTTTATTGTTTTGTTGTTGTTCTTTGTAATTAAAGAAAGGTCCTTATTTTTGATGGCGGGCATGATAACTCCGCACTGGAAGATCGGAATCCGATGTTACAGTGCGGCTCTCGTATGAACTAGGATTATTGACTTCGCTCTAAAATTAACAAAATGGTAGACCTTTGAAAAAATATTTTTGGAAAATCGCCGATTTTTGACCAAAAACCAGGTTAAAAATAAGGAAGATCTTCACCGATTGGCTTTATCCTAGTTCATACGATAGCTATACACTCACAGAAAAACGTGTAAAAATTTGAAATCGATTGGGTTATTAGTTTTTGAGTTATCGTGCCCGCCATTCGCAAAAAAACAAAATGTTGAGAGAAAAACGCGTTTAAAGTTTGAGAAGCCCTTCAGCCGTCACTTGATGCTGACACAATAAATCGGCTATATCCTCAAGAGTTCTTGAGATTTTCACTTGAAATTTTTTAGGGACATTTATTAACTAGTGTATATTCGAATTATATCAACAAAATTTTCGACCCCGAGAATGGGGGGGTCCCCTTAAGAGATTTGGTATGAAAATAGAAAATTATAGCATACTTTACTGCAGTTTTTTTGAAAATTATTTTTAAAAACTAATTAAATTTGTTAAAATAATTAAACTAATCGCCGATAAAATCATTTACTGATAAAAAATTTTACAAAAATCTGTAAAATCTATCAATATTGGCAACAATTTGTACAGTACACCTAACATTCGGAAAATCACACATAATATAGAAAATAAAGGTCCGAATGAAACAGAAATTGCTAGAATTAGTAGAAAACAAACTTATTAAAATAAATAAATAAAATAATAAAAACTTAAAAAATTTGGAATAAACCTAAAGGAGCGATTCGATTTCGAAAGTCTTTATTGAAGAAGGCCGCAATATGTTTGCTGGTCAAAAAATGTTTGCCGTAGAAAATGTTTTAATTATGTGGCCACCACTGTATATATTATCTAGTTCTTAATAAAACTATGCAGAAAATAAAAAAAAACAAACAGAAATCCCAAAAACACGGAAATAAATCGTATACACTCACTTTTGCACGTCTGGGTTTTATGAATAACTTGACGAAAAGAAATACAAAAATACACTTTTTTGGTTTTTATTAATTTCAAATTAAAGACAAAGTGTAAGACACGCTTCTAAGTTGTATATAAAGTAAATTGATACGTTTAAACACCGAACTATGCTTCGTTAGTACTCGTCAAACCTGTTAGTCGGTGGACGGCGTGAAAAGCCCTTCCCAACATTGATTATAGACCCAGCCAAAAAAAAAACCTGTATTATCGAAAAAAAAATTCAAAAATAAAAAAATCTGGATAAACCTAAAGTTGAACAGTGGTAGACAGGAAACGTATGATCGATGAAAACTAATTCAAAGGCGCAATGTGAAGCCGATGTAAAAAAATTGACAATCACCCTTATTACGGTTGGCGTAGTCGTGTTTAAAATTTGGCACTGTCGTATTTATACGGTATTATGATAGTCGTTACAATACCCCAAATTTGTCGTGAAAGATTCTGTTGACGACAGCATTAAAAAAAACTATGAAAATAATTTTAACAATATTTACTGATTAACTGTTACATTAGAATTTATTTTATTGCATTTCTCAATTTTCATAAGAATTGCACTTGCAAATTTTTGGGGACGAACTAATTTTTTGTACTGAGGACTTCAACCGCTTTAAATTTATACCCATATTGTCTTAGTAAATTTTAAACATCATGAGAAAATACAAGGGTCATAGTGTCATTTTGAGGCCCATTCTTATCGAGCTCGCGGCGTAATGTTCTACCTAACTAGAATAAAAACATGTTGTCATGTAAAATAAGATACCTTTTATTTAAGTTTACTCAATTAACCCATGTGTATATTTAATATGGTAGCGTATCGCTTCCCGTGGGTTTCGCTTAAAGTCCGGGTCTTTCAATAGTTTTTCAAATGCTTTAACTTGACGGGCAAACTTTTCCTTCTTCGTTTTTATCTTTTTCTTCGTGCTTAACTGTTTTGGGTCCTTCGATGTTGCATCCACTGCCTGAATGCCTGTTTTCAAATGAGACTTTTCTTTGGACAGCTTCATTATTTCCTCTAATGATGGCAAGGCATCCTTAAGAACCTTCAAATCGCCGACTATTGCCGTTTTCTCCCGTCTCCTTCTCTCTGCGTCCTCCTTCTGTTGTTGTTTCAACAAAGCAAATTTGTTCAGTAATTTGTGGCGCTTCTGACTAAATTTCTCCTTTTTAGATATTGTGTTTTTAAGCAAACCTTTCCTCTTCTCTGCAGCTGCTGGCCCAGCTTCCTCCATCTTTTGTCTTACTTTTGTTTCTTTAAGTTTCTTGTTCGTGGGTTTGCCCATGATTTTCAGAAATCCACTCTTATCCAAAGATGCAGGTGAATTTGTTTGCACGTTATTTTTCCGATATACCCAAAACACATTGAAATGTATTTAGAATGTCACTAGAAAGAATATTTAAGAGCATTCACTGAAAAATGTGGCCCGCGAAAGACCGGAGAATGAAGGAATTTAAGTAATGTAAATAAGTGAAATGTAAGTTGACATACATGGCCCAATAATAGCTGTGTCTGTTTACTCGATATTTGACTGGATGTTGTCTGTTTACTCCAAAGTGTAGAAAAAGAGAGAAGTAGTTTAACAGGGGGGTTACTCTGTATTGCGTTGCGAAAGCAAGTGCGATGCGAAAGCTAAATGCGTTAAGAGTACAATTTGGTACTCTGTAACGTTCACGCAAACGCATTCGCAAACTAAATTGAAAATAGGGCAACACTGTCGCCACAAAGTAAACAATAACGAAGAATGACAAAAGGAAACGTCAAAAAATTGTAAATGAAAACATATTTTTGTGTGGTACGAGTGTTTTTTTTAAACAAAAATGATGAACGAATTAAAAGAAAAGAATTTTATGAGATCTATCAAATATACTCTCCGTAAGTGACCACGGGTATGAAAATATAAGTACGAATTATGTGACGAATGTTTTCAAATATTTAATTTTTATAGATTTATATAAAATGTCTCAATAAAGATTCGTTTATGTATTTTTTAAACGCTCGTCGTTTCAAATAGATCCACAACAATTCCAACTCCAATAAAAGAGGCCGCTGCTTTGAAATTGCTTGGACAATGTGGTTATCAACACCAACCTATAAATATGCACACATAGTTTCACATTCTATATAAAAAAATAATATATTACTTTTTCCAACCACCGACATCTTTTACAGGAGGTCAATTTGAATTGAGGTCATCAGACAGTTTTGTCCACAAATTGTTGGCGCGTTGTTTCGCATTTGAACTCTGAAACTGTCCATTTGCCAAATCACTGTGTTGCCCCATAAAATCTACTGAAGTTAGGAACTGACGTTGCTGAGCCTGTAACTGTGATTTTTTTGCATTTTACTTAAAATAATTTACAATTTATATATAAATAAAACGTTTAATGGAGCTTACTTATATGTTTCGCTTCCTATGCGTTTGCTATTTTGTTAACGCAAGATATTTGCGCTTAACGAACGAGTTTGACATTCGTTTTCGTATTACAGAGTGCAGTGATGCTACATTTGCGTAAAGTAGATGCGAAAGGAGATACGAAAACGAATTAGAGAGTACCAATTACGCGATGCGTTACAATTTTTCTCACGCATCGCAATACAGAGTAGCCCCCCAGTTCTACACTGAGAAATTACTGATGTTATAGTACGTTTACATTTAACCAGATTTCGTTAACCCAGTGGGTTTCAATTGTCATTTCCTTTGCATATATGTCAAATAAATCCTCATAAAGTAGGTTAACCCGGTAAAAAAGTTCTAATGTACAAGGAGTTTTACTGGGTAAAATTCTTCCAGTAAGATTTATCCAGAACACAAACTTACTGAGTAAAACGACATTTACATTAGAACTTTTTACCGGGTTAACTTTACTTAGTTGGCTTGTTACAGAACGGCTGTTCCATAAGTCGAGCTTAAAAAAGATTACCAGATGTTGTTTTCTACTTGGTCTTTCCATCTAATTCGTGGCCTTCCCCTTCTACGGGAACCATCAGTAGGCTCATTTTTATATGCCTTTTGAGCTGGGGCATTTTCATTCATCCGCACAACATGGCCTAGCCACCATAGTCGCTGCAGCTCAATACGACTGACTATGTCGATGTCCGCGTATAAATTGTAAAGCTCGTGGTTGATTCGACGCCGATATTCACCGTCGACGCAGATCGGTACGTAGATCTTTCAGAGAATTTTTCTCTCAAACACCCCAAGAGCTGCCTCATCTGCTTGCGCAAGTACCCATGCCTCAGATCCATATAATAGCACGGGTAGTATCAGCGTCTTGTAAAGTGTGAGTTTGGTCTGGCGGTAGCTGGCCTTGTTTCTAAACTGCTTACTTATACCATAGTAGCATCTGTTGGCCATCACAATCCTTCTCCGAATTTTAAAACTGATGTCATTCGTTTTATTTATGGCGGTACAAAGGTATATAAAGTCTTTAACTACCTCGAACCTGCAGTTCTCAAGTTCCACAGTTGGTCCGAGTCTACTGGACGTCTTGCGCGTTTATACCATCAGCTTGGTCTTCTCGCCGTTTACTGCCAGACCCACTTTGGTAGACTCCTTTTAGATTTGTTCAAAGGTGGTTGTTACCGCTCGCAATGTTCGACCCATTATATCAATGTCATCGGCGTAGGCGAGTAACATGTGTTGTTTGGTGAACAGAGTGCCATTTCTGTTCAAATTCGCGTCTCGTATGACCTTTTCCAGTAGGATGTTAAAAAGATCACACGACAAACTGTCACCTTGTCTGAATCCTCGTTCGGTATTGAAGGGCTCCGATAGGTCCTTTCCTAATTTCACTGCTGACCTTGTGCCACTTAAAATTATCCTGCATAGCCGTATTAATTTTGCAGGAATACCGAACGCAGACATAGCTTTAAACACCTCTGAACGGATAGGGCTGTCGAATGCGGCTTTATAGTCGACAAATAGGTGGTATGTGTCGATGTGTTTTCGTGAGTCTTTTCCAGGATTTGGCGCAGAGTGAAAATCTGGTCAATGGCGGATTTGCCAGGTCTGAAGCCACATTGGTATGGTCCGATGATGTCCTTGACCATTGGCTTCAATCGTTCACACAGCACACTGGATAGCACTTTATATGCAATGGGAAGGAGACTTATTCCTCTATAGTTGGCACATATCGTCTTGTCTCCTTTTTTGTGCACGGGACACAGGATGCTGAGGTTCCAATCATTGGGCATGCATTCATTTAGCCAAATTGTGCTAATCAACTGGTGCATGCTCCTGAACAGCATCTGGCCACCATTCTTGAATAGTTCGGCTGGTAACCCATCAGCTCCTGCTGCTTTGTTGTTCTTGAGCCGATTAATTGCTTTTATGACCTCATCTTGGCTAGGTGGTATACACTCTATACCATCATCTCTTATTGGTTCTGGGCTATATTCTTCATCGCCACTATTTGATACTAGAAGCTTTTCGAAATGCTCCTTCCAGATCCTCAACACGCTGTCTGTATCTGTCACCAGGTTTCCTTCTTCATCTCTACAGGAGGATGTGCCTGCACCAAAGCCTTCGGTTTGGTGTTTTATTCGTTGGTAAAATCTCCGGACTTCATTCTGCCTCCTGTACATCTCGATTTGCTCACGCTCACGTTTTTCTTGTTCTTTCTTCTTTTTTCTGAAAATACGTTTCTCATCTCTCCTTTTCTCCCGATAATTCTCCATCACGTTACGTGTTGCTACTGTCTGCAGGGTTGCCCTATACGCTGCGTTTTTCACATCAATAGCATTACGACACTCCTGATCGTACCATGGGTTTCTTGGTGGTGGTTTTTGGTACCCAATTGTTCTTTTTGCTGCAGTTTGTAGGGAGTGGGCAATTCTTTGCCATTGTGCTTCAATACTATTATCGGGACAAGAAGTGCTTTCTTCATGCAGATGGGTAAGTTGAACGGAGTAGGCCTCGGCTACCTGTTGTGTTTGCAGCTTTTCGACGTCGAGTTTGCGTGTTGTATTAGATCGCACCTTTGTTGCAACATTAAGACGGGTGCGTACCTTGGCTGCCACAAGGTAATGGTCCGAATCGATATTCGCTCCTCGTATCGATCGGACGTCTAAAACACTGGATGAATGCCTCCCGTCTATCACAACATGATCAATTGGATTTCTCGTTACTTGATCAGGAGAGATCCAGGTGGCCTTGTGTATATCGAGATGCTTGAATCTGGTGCTGCTAACTACCATGTTTTTTGCTGCCGCGAAGTCAATCAACCTCATGCAGTTGTCGGATGTTTCTTCATGAAGGCTGAATTTTTCGGCTTGCGCCTGTTCTGTACAACGTGCGCACATTCCAAGTGCAGATTCGCAGATTGTGGTCCTTTATACGTTCGCGGGGGTCGTCAACATTAGGGGGTTTGGTTTTCTTTTTCTTAGCTTTTTCATAGTAGATTGGGTTTTCCGAGAGTGGGCAACTAACCCGATGCCTCAACCCATTTTTTATAGTTCTTATGGGCGAAGCGGCACATATTAGCTCACTATTTCGTCGGGTGATGAGAATAGCTCCCCAGGTGGCACCGCGGGGAGGTTGGTGTCCACAATTGAGATGAAAGAGGGACCAAGATAAGCCTGGACTTCGCCATGTTAAAGCCAATCAGAGCCGTTGCTTGGTATCTATCATCCCCTACGCCACCCGGGTTAACCATGGTACAATAATACAAGGTAGGGTAGCTTGAGGTGAATAACAAAAAAAAAACTATGTACGTGTGGCCTATTCTGCCAAAAATAAAATAAATATACGCAACAAGTGTTTGTGTTTATTTGACATTTTTTCAACACAAAACTAAAAACGCGAAAAATGAATGAAAGGTTATGATTTCTTTCCAAAATCCAGTAGGGAATACCATAAAATGTTTGTTTTAATCCATACAAAGTAATTACTTCCAGACGAACGTGTTAAAAACTGTATTTTCATTTCAATTTAACTTGAATATATTTCAATTTATTTTGAATTTCAAAACAATACACACACATGCACAAAATATGTATTTTGATTTGATGCGTTAACTGCAAGGAACCAGCCACTTACAACTCATATAAACTTAATGATCCTTGCAGTGCTTTTCAGGCAATAACGAAAGCGGCTATGATATACGACGGTTAGTTAAATTATGTTGGGTTCCAGGAAATAGCAGTATAGAAGGGCAGGAGTTGTGGCAATCACTAAAGCCGCTGAGATATACGATGGATAGTTAAATTATGTTGGGTTCCAGGACATAGGAGCATAGAAGGGTATATGATAGCCGATGAGCTTGCTCGTGGGTTTTCGCAGTCGTCCAATTTACCGTTGAGTGGATTAATGCCGTCTCTGTGTGTGGTGGAAAAATCACAAATACTCTGTAGGTGTCAATCGCTAAGTGGCAGAATGCACTTTCACTATCTTTCCTCTACTACTTTCTAGGATGAGCACAATAGGCAAACTTAACCTATTTTAGTCAGATTTCAAGTCAGTGGTCTCCCGACGATGCTACGTTTATTCTTTCGACAGGTTATTGTAAAAATAAGACCAAGATAAGCATAGAAGAACGTATGATACAATTATTCAAGGTAGACCATAGCAACCTATAAATTAGAATTTGTCATACTGTGGCTTGTTATGCCAAAGTCATATACAAAATGTGTGACTGTGTGTGTAATGTTTTATAAAATATAACAAAATAAATTCGAAAATCGCTTTGTTTGAAGATGAATTTTAGAACAGTTGTAAGAAATGTATGATTTGTGAATGAATCAACATGTAAATCATATCCCAAACTCGATATTGAAAAGAAAACCTGACATTTCATTCAGTTTTTTCGTTTTTGGTAAAATGTTACAAATATGTCAAATGTAAAAAAAATCGCTTTCACATTCTCGCCTTATTCTGAATGCATAGGGTGGCGCAAAAAATGCGAGATGGTGGTTCATGGTACAATTATAAAAGGTAACAGCAAATCCCAGCTGATTTGATTCCAACGTAATACTAGTGTCAATATGCATTTGACAAATTATGTTTTTAAAAATCACCCAACAGGAAAATTGGGAACTTATTGAATTCGAAATTGTTCTTTATTAAATGTCCTCCCGCATTCAATTTACTCAATCTGCCTGCTGGGATCATTTGAGGAAGCAAATCTTTCTTCAAGGAACAACTCGCTATTCCCAGCATTTGCATATGTGTTACACCTATATATGGCAATGGCTCAATTATAGTAAAGATGTGGAAGCGATAGAAATATAAATTTGATATATTTTCATTCATGTTTTTCAATTTTTATTTTATGGATTCAAAAATATTTCATTTTCAAAATAAAAATAATTTGATGATAATTTGTTTGTTTGTTTACATTTTTCTGTCAAAAGAGTTGACACTAGTAGAACTTACAATAACAAATTTCCATGTGGTTGTTGTATCGTTTGTTGTACAACAACACTTGCTGTTACCTTTTATTATTATACCATGATGGTGGTTGAAAAAAAGATTTGTGTTGCCATATTGTAATTTAAGTTTCCCCATTGTAATTTAATTGTGTAATATTTTTCAATATTTTATTTTTTGATTTTTTTATTAAAAATGTTTACTTTTTATAGTTATTTAAATGCTTGGTAATTAAATGAAAATAAATTAAAGTTTAAAAATATGGCAACCTACAATATGGCATGTGAAACAGCTGTTCATTGTTTTGATGCAATTTGGTGTAACAACTACAATAGACTACAAATAAAAGAACTTTTTTTATGATGGCAAAAACACAACGAATAATGGGAAGAAATCTGCGATTGAATTAATTAATTCACAGTTAATTTTTTCACTATATAATTGTGTGCTTCTTTTATTTAATTTCGATATTTATTTCCCCAAATTCTTAAAGTGGCCAGTTATGTTATGATTTGCTCCTACTCCTTTATTTCTTCTTTCAAATCATGCACACGATAATTTAAAAAATATATATATATTTTGTAGCTTTATTTTTGTTTTTGTTTTCATTCATTTTCGCTTTTTCCAATTGGCACAGATGCAGATACGTTCCTTGCGTATTTGTTTATTAGATAAAATGATGACCAATCATATTCTGAATATTGCATAGGGAGATTTATCGCATGTAAAAATGTTTCGCTTTCACATTCTCACCTTATTCTGAATGAATAGGGAGAAGCAAAAAATGCGGATTCAAGTTTTCGAAAATGGTGGTTGAAAAAAGATTCGTGTTGCCATATCGTAATTTAAGTTCAAATTTGTGTTGCCCCGTTGTAATTTCATTTTGTGATATATTATATATAGTTTCACTACATAATTGTGTGCCGTCTCATTTAATTTCGATATTTTATCTATCCAAATTCTTAAAGCGGCAAATTATGTTATGATATGCTCCTTCTTCTTGATCTTGTCCTTCAAATCATATTCAGGCTAACCAGGCAAATATGGATATGTGCTTTTTCCATATATATATATATATGTCCACCACGCAAATATGGCTATACAATACACAATTTTGTGACACCATTTTTGGCATGAGAATTTCCATTAAACATTTTCAAATCAAAGAAATCACTACCCATGGATGTAGTGGAAACATTGGGTACAGCTCTTGTTTGACATTCCTACTAAATTAACTGCTAAACACAACAAAGAAAATAATATGTAAAATTTAATGCATTTTATTTAAAAAAGTCCGATTACAACATTGTATTGAATTAGAGAAAAGAAAAACAGTAATGGTGTTTACCAATAGAGAACTTTTTCGCTACGAACATGAAAGATATTGCGATATATTTTATGACATAATGAAACATTATACATTTCTTTCTAAAATATCATTTGAGTCCGAATTTAACACGGGTTTATGTTTGAATGAGATAAAGTAAAGGTAGATGCAAACATATTTTAATTGAACTACATCATATTAACATTAAATATAGCATATCTTAAAAGTATACATATTGGTGTTGTCCTTACAGTGTTTGTGGTTTTCCAAGAAAAAATGTTTCCATTAAGAATAAACACACTATATAATACTATATACTCGAATTGTGTAGCAGTTCACCACACATTCACTACATTGTTTTTTAAGTTTGTCATTGCTGTATGAAGTAAAATATTTGGTTAGCTTTGTATTTTTATCAGTTATATTGCATATAAACACTAATAATTATAAGTGGGTACGTTCTGTAGTGAGAATTTGAGATCTATTATAAACATATATGATTTCTTGTGTGTTTATTTAACAGTTAAAACTCATAAATCTACTAGAAATTTACGTCCTTGGTAATAAGTTCTCTATTAGCAAGTAAAACACACTACTAAAATCGTTATCTCGTCTCGTGTAATTACTGTTGATATTGCAAAGTGACTACATGATGAATATTTTTCCATTCAGCCGGTTATATATTCATAGCCTTTTCGGAACAAATTTTATTATTACGCGATATTTTTTGAAAGGTCAACAGCATCTTATTCTACTGATGTTATAAATTTGAATTTGTTTTTTTTTTAAAATACTTAAAATAGGATGTTATGAGAATAAAACTAATTAAACACGAACGACTCATGTAGTATTGGATTCCAAAGCAAAGTCCTTATTTGTTAAGCAAGAACATCAAGAGACTGTAACGAAAAAAAAAACACACACACACAAATTTGAATCAATATCAAAGGCCAATATACTTTTATTTTACCGGAAATTAATGCCTTTATTGGACAATAGGCGGTTACATTCGTTGCTATCAGGCAAAGGTAAAAGGTAATAATCACTCTCTGTACTCTGTAAAGCTCATATATTATTATAATCGGCAGATTAGTTACAATCATATTTTTACCTGTTCTGTAAAATCATGTTTATATATTTGAGTTCCAACTTTCATGTCAGAAAAGGGTCCCTTTAGAGCAAAGAAATGTATACTCATTGGAGTACTAGTTTTTGATTTCAAAATAAGCTAAAATATATACAGGTTGAATAGCATAGGTCTTAAATGGTCATTGAAATTTGTTACCTGATAAGTAATATTACGTTCATTGGATTGATGGGGATCCCGTTGACTATTATTGATTCGTGCCTTCACCACCCACTGATGATTGAATGCAGAGAAGCGAGCGGTTTCATAAAAAAGTTTATGGACGTACTCGTCCGTACGATAGGGTTTCATTTGCAAATCTAAAAAGGTAGATATACTGTGGGTGTTTTAACGTGTTACACATTTTGTAGTTATTATTTACCGTTGAATATAATTTTTTCATAGCTTAAGAGATCAATAAGCGTGTTGAACATTTTCTTTTCCTCTTTTATTTTGGCATCGTGGGACTCAAGTGCTGATATTACTTCATATCCAGATTTATTTGGGTGCAAGCAATTTCGCTCGTGCTCAGTAGCTGGCGGAGAAAAATATAAATTGATTTTCAAATTAATAATATATATTTGCATACAAAATGTAAAATTGGTCTGAAAGTAAATAAATTAAATCAATTTGAGTATTTTTGGACTGAGAAGAACTGGAACCAATGTATCTAATTGGAAATAATAGGCCCACATTAGACGCATAGTCCACATTATCCAAAGTTACTCTAATATTTTGTCAACATTCAATTCAATTTTAATTTATATCGTCTTTGTGAAGAACATTTGGACTATTTCAAGATTTTAAAGAACATTTCCAAGTAATTTATCTTAACAAATATTAATTGTGTTGTGTTTTTAAGGCCAAGGTTTATTCATGAGGTTAACAGGCAGACCTTAGTCTTCTCTTACTGTCAATAATTTAATCGCGAATTACAAACCAGAACAGGACAAAGACTCAAAATGTCTTTCAGGAAAACGTAATGATAGTAATGTAAAGACTTCGAATTCGCTTCCCCGTCAACCTTATGAACAATGGTCCAAATATCAGGTTATCCAAAATGCGAATTCGTTCATCTATTATCAAAAGTTGTACTTGGAGCGAAAATCGTATTTGGAAATTATTTTTTATTTTTCCCATTGTTAAGCGCGCACAACACAAATTGGTCACCTCACAATATTTTCAATTGTTTTTTTTTCAGATTTGAAATACATTTTTCATATTTTAACAAATTTATTTATAGGCATTGTTATGAATAAACCTTGGGACAGCTGTTGGTAACATTATATGTTACAGCTCAAAATGTAAAGGACAAAAATTAAAACATTCAAAATGAGGAGGACTAAAAAATTCTCAAAATGAGGAGAATTAAACATTTGGAGGACTTTTATGGCAAGATTTATGATTGAAAATTATTGACTCGTCTTCTATAAAAAAATGCCGCTCTAAAAAATGATGTTAGTCCTTTGTTATGTAACGGGAATTTCAACCAAGAGATTTTGAAAAATTAAGGTCTTGATATACATTAGAATACTAAATAGCTAAGATTATATTTTCCGTTCTATAAAAAATATATATTGGGCTTCTACAAGAGGACATTTTAGTTTTTATGTAAGAAGTTCCTTTGGTATAATATAAAAAGGAATTTGGTTTTAATATAAGAATAATCGCAATGATATCTAAACGTTGGCCCGTAATAACACATTTTTGGCTAATAAGTGTCCCATTGAAATTCTCAGACGGCAGTTTTTTTTTTTTTTTTTTTTGGACTGCCGTTCTAATGACAGACATATATTCTTGTTTAGAGTAATTCTGAAAGAGACAATGCCTGGCTCTTTTCCTAAGGGTTTGGTATTGATCGTGTGATTTGGTTTGCCACAGTCCCATGTGTATTAGTCTCAATTTAGATTGGGCGAGTTTACTTGCGGCAAGTCTTTGTTTGTTGGAGAGAGGGGCAAGGGGAATAGAATTTCAAAAAAATTGCCCGTACCGACAATTTTCTGGCAATTCGTTTTGTGTATTTTGTTTGTAGTGTCAGTAATTTGAAATACCAATCCAGAACATCGTCACAAAATGTAAAAAAAATATTTCAAAAGAGAACGATAATAATTTCCGCAAATAAACTCGCCTAATCTAAATCAGGAATTAGTGATTTCTATACAATTTATAGGATTTTTGTAGTTTGGTGATTTGTTGGTATGATTCATGTTTCGGTCTAGACGTCAATAACGACAGCTTGAACACAATTTATTCTTCAAACAATAAATTTAACAGTCAATGAAGACATCGAATTCGCCTCCTTGTTACCTTATGAATATACCATTAGATATATTAATAAAACAATAATGGGGCGTCTTTCAGAAACCCAAAATCTTCGACAAATCTTCTATAAATACGAAACATTCGACAGGCTTCGACAGCTTGAACCCATCTCTCTCTTCTAATTAAATTCGACAGAAGATCTAATCGTCTAAAAAGTTATGGTTCCATCCCAATGGCCAATTTCGATGTCGATTATTTTTCTCCTTTTTTTATTTTTTCAATTCTATTTTTTTAATTTTTACTGCGATTTAAAATTGTTGTGACATTTAATGTTACAATCACCGGGTTTGATACGGTTACCTTACTAATATACCTTGGAATAAACCTTGGAGAACAATTTGCTTCAAAATGTACATGACAAGGCGAACCAATTTGAATTCGCCTTGTGTATGAAATTCAACATTACTGCATTCGAAATTAACACTTTTTATTTCAGCAAATTTTTTGGTACCTATTATATTCAAAGTTCATATTTTTGAAATGAATAATTTTCATTTTTTATAAAAACATAAAAATAATTAAATTATCACCAAATTAATATAAATTTAAACCAATTATTATAATCATAATTGTAATCCGGTATTGTGAAAAATTTGCATTCCATTCATTTTCGCTACATTTCCCTTATTTAATAAAATTATAAATTGGAACCGATTAGATTAATAGTTCTTGCCGTAGCTTGATGCAGACACAATAAATGAATTAAAATATAAATATCGATTTTGTTTAAACCGAGAATGGGTGATCTCCCATTCTCTTTTACAATTTGAAATATATGTCGGTTTGCACTCACTCTCATGATTAGGTCCTCGCCATTGACAGCCAATACGTGAATATTTGCAGTTAGTCGGGCGTTCGCAGCATTCGTATTGTTCATGACGATCCAAAGACTTGTAAGGAAACTCCTTATTGCAATACTACAAAATATAAAATTAATTAAAGAAATTATTAACTGCCAAACATTTTTAGCAATACAAACCTGACACTCGCTCGGAAGTTCAGATGCCGCCTTTTCCACTGCCAAATTACGAGATGCTGTGCTTTTAGATATTTCAACGCGGCAGTTGGGACAAGTAGCAATTTGTTCTCTTAAACTGCATTTGAAAAGTGTTAATATATGAGGAAAGGTATAATCTTAAATCACTGAAATAAATTACCGAGCATCTGCCAATAAATGGGTGAAACAAGCTGCGCACATAAGATGACCCATTTGACACTGAAACATACGAATAAATTGAATAATTAAAAATATAGTAATAACATTTTATATCGGTATACAAATTAAAAATACCTGCAATTGAAAGAGAAGAAAAAATATGATATTAATTAAAATGGTTATCATTACTGTAATAAAGAACACAATATGTGCCCCAAGGCTTGCGTACAGTGAGAAGGAAGGAATAAAAAAACACAGGTTTCAGATTTCACAGAACAAATTTGGTTCTATGTATTTATTGATATTAATAAAAAGTACAGTGTAATACAACAACAGCGTACAAGGCATACAAATAGGATCGAATTGTATACTAAAACTAATAACATACTTATTATCAATTGTTGGTTTATTTTACAGATACTCGATTTAAATTTGATCATTGATGAAATAATTCATAATTTTATTTATAGTGCATTATATCTTCAATACACATATATAATAAATTTAATATATATAATCTATAATATACAAACACCACCCATCATTATTAAATTAAAACAATGCTTCCAAAACAATAATCTGTTACATTTTTTATTTTCGCTCCCTTTGTCAGCTAATAATACGATCTTTACACACAATGAACATACTACGTTAGCGATACACTAATGTTGAACCTCTTCACTACGGTTAAAGATTTTGTTCTGTCGTATAACTTAGTCAGTGTTTCAAAATAAACGCTAATCTCAGGTACACTCAAATATTGAATCGTTATTTAGTATTATTCATTTAACTTTTTATTTAAATATATTTTTATTTGCCTTAGCCTTTAGAATTATAAAATAAATGTATTTAATAATTTCTTGTATTTAATATTATCTCAGTTTTTATTTATGCTGCATTTTTATATTTCTTTCCCGATAAATATCAACGATTTCATATTTTCTTATAATTCATAAAACCACCCGCACAGAACAGTTACAACACTAAAGTATTCCGATTGTAGTGTACCTGGGTTGTGAATAGTACATTTTAGAAATCAACTGTTATATTTACTCATAGTTTATTTCGGAACAGACTTACCATAACAAAACCTATTAACAAGATAGCAAACCCCTATTGAATTCATATTAAAGGCCCGAAGAAAGGCCAGACATTAACCCGCGTAGACAACCTGGGTATACAAACAAAAACAATGTTTCTTTTTATTTATTACGAATGAGGAACAGGCATAACCCAAAGCAAGTAAACGAAGAAAGAGATAGAGCTAGAATAACAAGACCCAACACATACATCACAAATACCATATGTTTTAACATCGCCCTTGCCCCAGCTGTGCTGCTGCATTCTATTCTATATTTACGATACTATTCTGTTTTGTTGTTTTCCTCAATTGTCGTACCTATTCGTAAGTATAGGAAGATAAACGTTGGCGATTGTAGATGTAGTGGTAGATGCATTACTGTCGTCGACATACTCAATGGAGGAGATTGTTAATGGAAAATTCAATAGCTACTACATACATCAACCCAACCAATATACATACGACGTAATACAAAATAGGCTGGTACAGAACTGCAATGGAACAGGCGAGGAATCCCTTTGTGTGTATATTTGTCGATTCAGTATCAATGCGATGTATTTGTAGAACATTTATACCTACTGCAAGATTAGAACACAAAGAATATGTGGCCATATTATTCCCTACCCTTTTGCCCATGCTGAGATTTACAGTTTCAAGGAAATTATGTAATGAAATGAACCTTTCACAAGTCATTGAGTTTAACTTAACCCACATATGCCGATTGTATTACACGTAGTACGGCCGTCATGCTAAGGGTTTACGGTTTGTTAATTTTTCTAATGAGCTTGCTGAGGGTCTGCAGACCATACCGCGTTGTTGACCATTAAGATCTGCGGAGCCTTAGAACTCTGATTAACAAATCTAACGTGCAGTAAACACAGTAGCTTTACAATAACAGGTTCACTGCATGCTCTATCCTCGGCATATTCGGGTTAAACAAAACGTATCTCACAAATATGTTTATAAAAACGCATCTGGGATCAGAAGTTCAAAACTTACCTGATACATTGCAGTTTTTGGCAAATCCAAACAGACGGCACAGCATAAAATTCCGCCTAAACGACTTTCAAGTTTCTCACAAACCGCTGATGGGGGTACCGACATCGAGGAGGAAGTCGATGGATTATCTAGCATTTGTTTTTTAGTTGGGGGTTCATCAGAGGGTGTGTTAGAGGCACCGCCACTGTTTGATGCACTATTCGACTGCATATTTGCCTGTTGTGACAAATTGGATGTCGAAGCGGTAGTGCTGTTATCACTTAGAATCTCCGCAGCAGCTAAAAGAGGAATAATGTTGGTAGTCGAAGATGGTGGCTGCTGTTGGACAGCACTTGATGATTCGACATCGGCCATTTTTAACTAAAGGAAAAACTCAAAATCTCCACCCAATAACTGGCCCCTGCGCTTTGTAGTTGTTGCTGTTGATGGTCTTTTGTTCTTCACTATTACGAACAATTTTCTTCGCTTCTTTTCTGACCTTTATTGCTCTGTAAATCAAAATCGATTTTCCTAAATTTCACACAATAACAAAACCACCACGAATATTATCTCCCTTTATGCACCTATTAAAATCCCACGGGCTAATTGATTCACGAGCAAATTAGAAGCCAAGTTTATAATCTGAAGTGTTATTCCTAACTACCCGTCCGTTTCGACAAACGATTTAACTTCGTTCTATTGCGTTTGAATCACACCTAGAACGATGCCGTTCGAAAATGACTCTGACGGCGGCATTTCTTTTTTAGTATAGTGAACGCTGCGAATAGGGAAGACAGGAGAGAATAGACGATGAAAGCCAGACCGAAACGAAGTTTACGAACAGAACAGACCAAGTATGAAGCAAAACGCCATTGCACTCGGCATGTTTAGAATGAAGGCAAAGACGAAAGAACAAAAAAATCATAATTAACAGCGTTACCTAAAATTCAACGAACTCTGTCCCATTTCCTTGTAACAGGAGTAACAGCGATAAATAAATATGTTCTGTCATAGTTGAATAATTTCAACTTTGTTTTACTTTTGTGGTGAAAAACGTCGAACGGGTAGATGAATTTTAAATGACATTTATATTAGGATTTGTTTGACAAATAAGTAATGGAATTGACAATTAAAACCCACTGGGTTAACGTAAAATGTAAACGTAATATTAAACTCCTTGTACATTAGAACTTTTCACTGGGTTAACCTACTTTATGAAGATTTATTTGACGTATATGCAAAGGAATTGACAATTGAAACCCACTGGGTTAACGTAATCCGGTTAAATGTAAACGTACTATTAGGTAAAGCTGTTAAACACATGTGTTCATATGAATGTGAAAACGGGTTTAGTTTTACGAAATCCACTCGACGTCGAATGTCAATTCCATAGCGTATACATCAAATAGAATCCACTGGTTTTGTGAACAGGACTAATAGTACGTTTACATATAACCGGATTTCGTTAACCCAGTGGGTTTCAATTGTCAATTCCTTTGCATATATGTCAAATAAATCCTCATAAAGTCGGTTAACCCAATAAAAAGTTCTAATGTATATGCCGTTTAACGTGCCGTATACGCTATGTAATTAACGTTTAAAATTGGGTGCATTTAGTAGTCTAAACTCGCTATAAAAGTACATTTACACATGGTACAGTATTTTTCGGTTAATTGCACATCAAAATTTGCACACATTTTTGTTCAATTAACCGAGGAACCAATTATCTGAACCCGCTTAATTGAATAGTTTGTTCAATTACTAATATTTGGAACTACTAATGGTTAAAAAAAAGTCCAATATCAAATACAAATTACGCTTTTTCGCAATTTTTCCTTAGCCATAAACATATCTTTTGAATTAGTAGAGATACCACCTAGTCTTTTTCACAAAATATGTCAAATATGTATGTAAAAAAATGGCAGATTATTTTTCAATTATTATTATGCAATTAACCGGTGAAAAGTAAAAGGAAATTTATTTTTGATGACATGAATTTTAAACCAATTAAGCGGGAAAATCAATTAACAGGGTTTAATTATTGTCCTATGAAATATTTTTTGCCCCAGCATGTGGTTCAATTAAGCGTGGAAACCAATTAACCGTAGGGTCAATTAACCGAAAAATACTGTACAATTATTTAAGGTAGGCCACAGTAACTTTTAAATTAAAATTTTTCCATACTTCGGCTTGTTATGCCAAAGTCGTATACAAAATGTGTGACTGTGTATGTAATGTTTTGAAAAATATAAACAAATATTTTCTAAAATGGCATGTACATTAGAACTTTTTACCAAGTTAACCTCCTTTATACGGCATTTACATTAGAACTTTTTACCGGGTTAACCCACTTTATGAGGATTTATTTGGCATATATTCAAAGGAATTGAAAATTTAAACCCACTGGGTTAACCAAATCCGGTTTAATGTAAACGACCTTTTATGAGGATTTATTTGACGTATTTTTTTTTTATTTATTTCATCAGATAATACTAAAGCCTCCAAGGCCAATGAACAGTATTAACATCATAACATAATCCTAAGTAGTAAATTATAACTTAACTAACAAATTTTCAAATATATATCATATAGGCTCCCCAGCCATAACTACAGATAAAAAAATAATAATACAAATAATGGACATAATAGCAACAACATAGCCAAAACTTAAGTATCAGAAGCTTAAAAAACGGAATAATATGATTAAAGAACCAGTACTAAGATATGATAGGACCAAAGTGATTCAAAAGTTTTAAACGAAATGCATTATTGGTTTGTGAAAATGTTTTTAGTTCAATAGGCAGATAATTCCATATACGGGCAACACGAACAATAAATGATTTCTCAAAAGTGGAATTGTATATTCTAGGTATAAAAAGCTGAGTATTTCTCGTGGACATACCAAACCTGAACATATTCGCCAATAAAAGAGGTACACCCATTTTTACTATTTTGTAAAAGGCATATACAACCCTAATTGAAACAAATTGTTCAAAGTTCACACCCAAGAGGCTCTCCACATAACTTGAAATGTGCTTATGACGTCTAACTACATAGACAAAACGAGTTATAGTATTGACCACACGTTTTAACTTTGAAGAAACCCGTTCTATTGTGCCAGACATAACTTCGACACCAAAATAAATATGAGGCATTAATAGAGCATATGCCAGCCTTCTTTTAACCCAAGTAGGAGGGAATATATTCGTAGAATATAATCTACGAATGATGCTACAGATTCTCCTTTGGACCAAATCTACATGAGTCTCAAACAAAAGCTTGTCATCCACTAATACACCTAACATTTTGTGACAATTAACGAAACCGATTCTTTGTTGACCAATAAATATATTGGGTTCATACAAAGCATTACCAAAACTGATTGCTTTAGTTTTCGATGGATTAAAACAAAGCATGTTCTCAGAGCACCACTGTTCGAATTGAGCAAGGGATACATTGATTTTACGTTCAAATGATAAAGGCGAATCATTAATGCAACTAAAGACAAGAAAGACATCATCAGCAAACAAGAGTGGTTTACAATAAACATCACAAAAACACTCCTGTAAACTATTCACATATAGAATAAAAAGTAGAGGACCTAACACAGAACCCTGTGGTACACCACTTGTAAGTGAAAGCTCATTCGAAACATTTCCATTAAGAGATACAAATTGAGATCTATCACGCAGATAAGATCCAACAAGTCTACACGCAGTAGCAGAGAAATTGAACTCTGAATTAAGTTTATGTAACAACAAAGGATGAGAAATTGAGTTGAATGCCTTCGTAAGATCCAATGACACAACTATAGAATTAACATTTAAGTTATTTCTAATAACATCCGTCACATATAGTAGTAACCCTGTGGTATTGTGATTTTTACGGAAAGCAAACTTACCATTATAAATGAATCTGCTCACATTTGTCAATATTTGCTCTTTCATAATATGTTCACATATTTTCGATAATACCGGGAGAATTGAAATAGGCCTTAAATCATCAGGACTTTTGACAAGATGGCACTTTGGCAATGGTACGACTCGAGCTTTTTTCCAGAGTAGCGGAAATATAGAAGAAGTCAGTACAGAATTTATCAAATCAAGGAGAATGTCAGAAATGTAAGGAAAGATTAACCTTAAAAAATCAATAGTAATGCCATCAACACCAATAGATTTTGATTTAATTTTGTTTAGGACCATAGCAATGTCATTAACATAAACACAATTAAAAGAAAAACTATTCTCCGAATCACTGAAAATTTGTGAATTGAAATCAACAAAAGATGAGTTATCAAAAACAAAAGATCGATTTACAACATTAACGTCAAGCTTACCAACAATGTCATCATCTCCCATAAATCCAGATCGTTTCAAAAATGTCCACAGAACAGTTGAACCCATAGTGTTAAATTTCTTCGAATAATACCTTCTTTGCACCCTTCGAATGATAGATTTCGCTTTATTCCGATATTTACAAAAAATTGTGTTCATTAACATAAACACAATTAAAAGAAAAACTATTTTCCGAATCACTGAAAACTTGTGAATCGAAATCAACAAAAGATGAATTATCAAAAACAAAAGATCGATTTACAACATTAACGCCAAGGTTACCAACAATGTCATCATCTCCCATAAATCCAGATCGTTTCAAAAATGTCCACAGAACAGTTGAACCCATAGTGTTAAATTTCTTCGAATAACACCTTCTTTGCACCCTTCGAATGATAGATTTCGCTTTATTCCGATATTTACAAAAAATTTTCCAATTTTCGGAAGTTTTATCTCGCTGGTATGCTGTAAAAGCCAAATTACGAAGAGACTGAGCCAAAGTAATCTCATTAGACTTCATCCAATCATCACCAGCGCTTATTTTCTTACGAACTATGGGAACAAATTGAAACAAATCAAAAATCAGAGAAGATATAACAGAACACTTAACATCAACGTCAGCAACAGTCAGCAGATTAAATCAAAAGCAGATAAATGCATAAAAAAGCCATCTCAATCAATACGGCTAAAGTCACGATATTCAACATAATTACAAAGCGCACTTACACTGAAGTTTAATGAGGCAAAAATTAACGAATGATCAGAGATTGCAGGACAAATAGCCTGATCCGAAAGATGAACCATAGAACTATTACTAACTAACATAAAATCAATCAAGGAAGACGAAGCATGCGAAACATCATAGTGTGTTGGTTTAGAATTGTGTAAAATTGGCAGATTTAAACGAAAACACGCTGAACGGCTTATCAGGGATTTTTGACTGTCAAACAAATTACAATTAAAATCGCCAACAATAACTATATTAGAATACCTTAATAGCAAATCAATATGAAGTTGTTCAAACGCAACAAAATCACCAGG